AACCACACTCCATCAGACTTCCCTCCACCTGCGACGTCGTGGCATCATCGTCAACTTCATGTCGTTTCTTTTCAAGTCCTCGTCGGTGTCCCACCCCTCCCACGTTGATGTGCCACAGCGACAAAATCCTTCAGAGCGATTTGTGTGTATAGTTAGGGTCTAGCTTGTGTGTTGGTGTCAATGGTGTGTGTGCCGAGTGCGTTTGTGCATGAGCTCGTATACTACCGTTGTACCACATGAGAGGACTCGAAAAAGAAAGATACTTCACTCGCACTCCCTCATAAAGACTGTTGATCTCGGATCCACTTAAATTTTTTGGGCCTCCATTTGCTATTGTTTTGTGGAGGACATTTCAGTCTCATAAGAGCATCATCATTGACATGAATGTTCTTGCCATCAGGAAAATAACCCACATTGGTGAGAAATCAAAGTGTTAAACTTGGGGTTTGATCCCTGTTGGGTTGGAGTACCACCACATCCTAATCATCCAACCATACATTGGAATCGTTTTCTCATTGTCACTATCTGTTTGATTTAGGGTTTCTTTCTAGAGTGAAAGCACGATGGAGTTGATAAATCTCCTTCCAGGTTGATGCCTAGCACCCGCCGCCGCCGTTGTCCTATGATGCCATTACCCTCGTTGGAGGCATCATTGTGGAACCCCTTCGGCTCCAATGGCATTTAGATCTCGAGCTTCCTGGGTGTAAAACCAAGCTTCGACTATGGATGGAGTGTGCGTCGTTGTACTCGTTGCTCCTCCTTGGCGGCGTTGCCTTGGAGATGGTCTTCTGTCAGATATCGATGGTTCGTGTCATCTTGCAGTTTCGTCACCGGTTAGGTGGATGCGCGGTCTCGGGATCGGTGTAGAACCCGAGCGGTGGCTCCGGAGAGCGCATTTGTGCTGTAGAGCGTCGAATTTCATCACTTGGATGGTAGAGTTATCAGCTTGTCTGCGACACGCCCTCGTGCATGTGTGGAAGCCAAAGCGACGACTCTGGAGGGTGTCTTCTATTGCAAGGTGTCAATTTGTGTCTCTTTGAAGGCAGAGTCATTGGCTCGTCAGTCAAGAGGCCTCGGGGCTGGTGTGCATTGTTGTGGTTTGTATGTTGTAGCGGCGGCTTTGGTTTGTATTGTAGGGTGTCGACTCTGGCCATGCGGGTGGCATAGTCGTCAACTCGCAACATGGGGGGTGGCGTGTGTATGGGGCAGTTGTATTGATTTTCGGCCATCTCCCTTAATAAACTAGATAATCCTCTTCTCCCACGAAAGCCGGAGCTCCTCCTGATTGCTCAAAACAAAGTCTCTCTCATATTTTTGATCCAGTTTTAACCATAATTTGTTCGCGGCGTAATTTTGACTGTAAACTTAACTAAATATGAATTATGTGTAGGAAAAAATGTATAATTGGAAACGTACTTCAAATACGAATACAACAAGATAATTATTGTACACATGTAATTTATATTTTGTTAGACAAATTTATGGTTGAAATTTGACCAAAATAGAGGTGCTCAACATTTTTATCCCTATTGATAATGATGGACCCACACGTCAGTGACGGGCATCTTTCCATCCCCTTCATCCCCGATGGCCGGTGAATCCATGGGAACGCATTGCTGCGGCGCAGCAAGCATGGCCAGCGGCGCCGGCGAGGATGAGGCGACGTCAGGGTGGGCGTGGCGTCCAAGTACGGCGTCTTTTCTTCCTGACTCGTTCCTCTTCTTACTTGCCTAGGTTTTGCTGGCCCAATCTGGTTCCGCCGACACCAGATTCAACGGCGAATTGTATGCGCCGCTGAGGTCAGGGGAGACACATCCCCAACCTCTCATTTCTTTTTCTCGCTTCCTTTTCAATGGCGAGCGACAGAAGGAACTGTCCAGGATCGAGATATGGAAGAACGGGTCTTGGATTGGATTCAAGAATGGAAGAGCATGGAAAGGTTTCAGCTTGCCGTCCCTTTCCTCCCCATTAGTCAATCCCCTCTCCGACCTCCAGCACAACACGTACTCCAGTTCTCTACTGTCTAGAGAACTCCGTGCTGCTTACTGCTCTTCACTTTTTAACTGGCCCATCGCCACCATTCTTGCCCCCTTCTCCTTCTATGCTTGTCATTTCCACTTCATCGTCGCATCGATCGACTCCTCTCCACCAGTGTCTTCCTTGCGCGGTATCGAATCCGTTCCTTCTTCCGTAAAAGTGTAGACATTGTAGCTTCTTTCCTGCTATGGTGTGGTGCCATGACCATGATTCTTAGCTTCCTCCATTACCATGATTGTTATTTGTTAGTTTCCTTCATGTTATGGTGCCATGACCATGATTGTTAGCCTCCTCCAGTGGATACACACGCTGTGCGCTGAGCATCGGCGGCAGGATTTGGACGCTTTTTTCCTTCCACCAAATCTCCCATGTCATATCAAGTTTATGCCTCAAATTACATAACCACTTGAATCCGTTTTTGGTGTTTATTGCTGTTACTGGTCGCCAAGCGCTTCGTGACTGTACGCTTTTCGCATAGAGTTCCTCAGATTTTTGAGAATTCCCGGATACAAATGTCAACTAAGTCCCAAGTACTATAAGGGCACATCGTCACGGCTTTGCTGACAAGATCATTTTCGTGTTCCTGGATCTGGACAAGTAACTGTTCCCCTCTGCTTCTTTTCAGGGGATTGGCTCTGCCATCACAAGGAGCCTGCATCCCTGAACTCTGAATATTACCGCCAAACCGGGGATTTTTCCTCCACAACGGCATCATGCTACGGTCCCGACTGTTCTATATTTGCTCCATTATCTTCGCATTCTATTTTGCCCATGTGCAACCGACGACTGAACAGATCACGGCACCATGGGAAGGTAAAATCCATCTTAACCACCATACCTCTTGTTTAATTTGGTAGGTGTTCTTGTTCATTTTACATTTTCCTCATAACCATGACCCACTTGAGGAGAGAAGCAAAGTACTCCCTCCGTTCCTAAATATAAGTCTTTGTAGAGATTCTACTATGAATCATATACAGATGTATATAGATGCATTTTAACTGTAGATTCATTCATTTTGCTTCGTATGTAGTCCACCTAGTGGAATCTCTACAAAGACTTATATTTAGGAACGGAGGGAGTAGCACACAAGTCCAGGGTGCTACATTTTTTTCCTGTATCCTTCTTGCATTATGAGACCAACTTGCTGTACATTTGGTTCAACTGGTCTGCAGTCGATGCTTTGAGAGCTATCAGAGGCAGCTTGAGTGATCCACTGGGATGTCTCGATAACTGGAACCGTGGAGATCCATGCGTCGGAAATTGGTCCCGTGTTATCTGTTACAACGTAACAGCAAGCGATGGATACTTTCATGTGCGGCAACTGTATGTGCACAAGTGTTCTCCTTGTCAATCATGTCCATATCATTTATACAACCCTTCTCCTTTGCTTCTATTCTGGCTTGCTTTTGGTCATGAATTGAGAACTTGGGCTTGGTCGTATATACAGTTTTGTTGACTTTCTTAATAGATGATCATGCCATCCTGGATTCATCTGCAAACCATGTTATTTATGGTATCAGCATATTTGATGGAGCTGAAAGTGCAGTAAAAAAGGATGCAAAATGTGTATAGATGGAGTAGAGGAGCATTTTCCCTCTGAAAAGTGAAAAGTCTCATGCTTATTTTATTTCCAGATGAATCTAATTCCTGTGACATTTTGTTATAATATGTTTCGCTTGGTGATATCCTGGTATTATGTGATTATAGGGAGCTTCTACGGTTAAATTTATCTAGGACTTTGGCCCCTGAGCTTGGCCAGCTGTCTCGCATGAAAATAATGTAAGTGCAGTGAGCTGAGCTCGCTAATTATCGTGTGGGTTGCCTGTTCATTTAATCCAGTCCTACATGCACAAGGGGCGACTGAGTACTTCTTTTAATTTTCTTTCAAGGGATTTTATGTGGAACTCAATTGGTGGGAGCATTCCTAAGGAGGTTGGCAACATTACTTCTCTGGAACTATTGTAAGTCAAAATCTACATCACTGATTAGAAACATGGTCTACCTGAATCAGTTTCCTTCATATCTTTCTGTTTGGACATGGAGGTTATCATTTTTCTGTATATGTTAACTTAGTTATTGCTTACAGGTTTTTCAATAAACAGTTGTTTCTCTGAGATCAGTTTTGCTCATGTGACAAGGTGTACATTGTTTATATTTGCAGGCTCTTAAATGGGAACCAGTTGACTGGTCCTTTACCAGAGGAAATTGGCTTCCTTCCTAATTTGAATAGGATTCAGATTGATCAGAACCATATATCAGGATCCATACCTAAATCATTCGCTAACCTGAACAAAACCGAGCACTTGTAAGTAGGATATGTTTTAGCCTCTCTCTTAACGAGTGATAGTTATCCTTATCCTAATGGATTTCCAATTTCTATCCAGTCACATGAACAATAATTCGTTGAGTGGTCAAATTCCACCTGAACTGTCCAGATTACCTTCACTTGTTCATCTGTAAGTATTGACCTCTGCACGTACCATAATATTGCTTTTCATTTATACCCTACTGACAGTATAATTGGTTTGCAGATTGTTGGATAACAACAACTTATCGGGCTATCTTCCTCCAGAATTATCACAGCTACCAAAACTGCTCATTGTGTATGAAACCTACTATTGTGCAATAGTTTGAATAATATATAGTTTTTGATTATTTTGGTTGGGTGGATTGGATATCAATCTTTGATCATGAATTGGAGTAAATTTCTCGGTCTTAAATGAAGCTCTTAAGCAGTAGTTCTTCTTTATTTGTTGTTTTGTAGCTTGAATGAATAGTTTACGGCTACTTACAACTTAGGGAGCAACACAAACAAAGAATGTCTGCTCCACTGTTCTCTTTTACTGAAAAGTAGCTGCTGGCATGTTCCCTGTGCTAACTTATTCAATCGTAAGTTGCTTTAACTGGCATTAGCTCAGTTAGTTGTTTAGGATTACTTCTGATTTTACCCTGATCTTTACGGCATTATTTCTTGCCAGCAGTAAACCACTGAAAGCTTATATGCTGCTGAAACAATATAACTGCTAGTCAATTTTGCATTTTTCTGTTATTTATATACCATGAATAATTCAAAGTAATTGGAAAGAGACCCATAGCAATTCGAGTAACTTCCAGTTCATTTTATTAGTTTTTTTTTCATGTCTTTGAGATATCACATTTAAAAGACATATATACACTCACTGTATGTCTAATTACCTCTTTTCAAAATGATCCCAGCCAGCTAGACAATAACAACTTCTCAGGAAGTTCAATTCCTTCATCTTATGGCAATATCACAACACTTCTGAAATTGTAAGTATGGTCTACATCTCTCGGATTTTGTAGCCATGTGGTCTAATGAACTATAGTGTTAAATAAGGACGATTTTCACATTGGTCATCATTATTGCAATGAGAATGGCCCTTAATTTGGTTGAGTAAAAGAAATAAAAAATCTTGGCTTGCCTTTTAAAGTATTATGAGAGTTTCAGATAATCTAATTGATATGGTCTACATCAGGAGTTTGAGAAACTGCAGCTTGGAAGGCCCCGCTCTTGATGCCAGTGGAATACCGCAACTTGGCTACTTGTACATATAATTCTGAACTACGTACTACCTATTTGTTTAGGAAAAAAATCTCACCCGTGATGCTTAGGGGAATTTGGCAGCTATCACTTGCTCTCATCTTTGTTGTGTTGTTTCAGGGATATTAGTTGGAATCAGTTGACGGGTCGTATACCATCTGGCAAACTAGTGAGCAACATAGCTACAATGTATAAAAATAAGGCCCTCGCAAAGATTTCATGCCATTTTGTTTTTTAAGTATTATTTATTGATCCCTTTTCCCCCAAGGAAACTTCTATTTTCAGTTTACACTCACTTTTGCAAGTTGTGCAGAGATCTTTCCCACAATCGTCTTAACGGTTCTATTCCTGGAAGTTTCTCCGGCCTTCCTAATCTCCAAAGATTGTAAGTCTGATATTACATTCACCATGCTATTATGTCCTTTAATATTTGATAAAAGGGATAAATCTCTAGAAAAGGGGGATGCTCTTACTTTATTATTGCTCAATAGTAGTGAATTACTCCCTTTGTCCCTTAGGGTATTCTCGCATGGACAATGATTGATTGCAGAGTACCTTCTGCGGGTCCATGCCATGACAACAACTTTAATTTTCAACAAACATAAGTTTAAACAATTTTGCATGACAGTACTGTTCATGAATGATCATTTGAATCAGGCTGAGCTGATTTTTTTTTGTCTTCGTTCAGGTCAATGGATAATAATAACTTGGATGGTTCTGTTCCATCTGATGTCTGGCAAAATATTGATTTCAGTGGAAATAGAAGCCTGATATTGTAAGATCATCATAAACTGAACCTTCTGCTTCACCTTTTTGATTTTAGAGAACGGTATATAATTGACATATTTCTTCAGGACTGGTAATCTAATATCCCCCCTTAAATATTTTGCAGGGATTTCCATAACAACGCTCTCACGAATCTATCGAATCCTCTTACACCCCCTGCGAATGTTACCATCCTGTATGCATTTCTATTGAACAATTATCTTTTCCATTTTTCAGATCCATTCGTCATTTCCAGTACCTTATATTTTCTTTCCTTCACCATCCATGTTTTTAGGTTATCTGGAAACCCCATATGCACATCGCAAAATCAACTGAATATATCTCAGTATTGTCAATCAATTTCAGTTGTTGTTCCTGGAGGTTCCACAAATAACAATACACTTTGTCCACCATGCTCAACCGACCTTCCTTACGAAAACATACTAAGGTCACCAATCTCATGCTTATGTGCTATTCCACTTTACGTTGATTACCGGCTGAAGAGTCCAGGATTCTGGGATTTTGTTCCGTACGAAGCTGAATTTCAATACTACTTGTCATCTGGTCTTTCATTGTCCTCGTATCAATTGGAAGTCTCTACTTTTATGTGGGAAGAAGGCCCGAGGTTGAAGATGAACCTGAAGCTTTTCCCAAACAACACTGCGTTGTTTAACTCTGGTGAAGTGCTGAGACTGAGAGACATGTTCACAGGGTGGCTCATCACGGACTCGGATATATTTGGGCCCTATGAGCTTATCGACTTCATCACAGGGTGGTACGAAAATGGTATGTATATATGTTACTTTATCTTCACTCCACTCCATATTTTGTTTCGTTGCAATTTTTTGTCACCATGTTTAAATGGTCGTGTATAGATGTTTGTATTAGTGATCACATTACGTGCGCACATTCGAGCTGCCGAGGCCTCCTCTCCTCATTTTCCCCAATGCAGATCCCCAAACTCCACATCAATCGAATAAGCATATTACCGTTGCCCACTTGTCCTAACTTAGTAAGCTTCACTGTATGTCTCTGAACTTGCAACGAATTTTCACATGACACCCTCAACTTAACATGTCCCTAAACTTTTCCTGTTACCAAGTTCACCCTTGCTAACGTGATAAGTGTGCTTTCGTTCACTCATTGTCATAGGGCTTCGGCGCCTTGATTCTCAGTATCTTTTTAATTGATCAAGTTCACCCTTTTGTTGGAACCCTGCTGTATTCCCTGGGCCAAAGGCCAATATATGTATATGTACATGCCTGTAGAAATAAGCAAAGAAGAGAGTGACAAAACATCTAACAGTTTTCTTGGCTCACGATAAAGAAAAAATATTGGACCGAGTAGAATGTAGTTAGGTGTACAGAAAAGAATAGTTTGGGATCTTAAATGAATAGTTTGGGATCTAAGAGGATGTGGATAGCACTGTTGTGGAAGTATCCATCATATATGGTGCTCTTTATCAAATGTAACCACTACAATGTTGCCAGCTTGGTATCCAGCAGTTGTACAATTATTGAAGAGAGAACTCACATGTTCCCATGCTTTCTTTTCAGTACTACCGCGTCGTACAAAGTCCAGTCTCAGTACAGGTGCCACTGTTGGTATTGTCATCGCAGCATTTGCTGCAGCAGCAATTCTTTCATCCCTCGTTACTCTCATCATATTGAGAAGGCGTTCAAGTCAAATTTCAAAGAGACGCACTGGTAAACCATCCATTTGTACTTTCTATGGTCTAAAATTGTTAGATTATTCATCTCTTTTTCAAATACATTGTAATATTTCAGTGATCCACCTTTTTTTATTCAAAACAGTTGTCACTTCTTTTGATTCTGATTTTGTTAGTACAGAGTTGCAGCATTGTATGTATTGTCATGACTTTTTGATATGAGTTGCTATTCATCTGAGCTTGTTGTGATGAAATTGTTATGGTCATTCGATGACAAAATTCTGCTGACTTTGCAGCGATAAGAATTCAGATGAAAATTGAGGGCGTAAAAGACCTCACTTTTGAAGAATTATCAAAGTGTACAAGCAATTTTAGTGACTCGGCACTAATTGGTCAAGGAGGGTACGGAAAAGTATACAGGGGGGTTCTGGCTGATGGAACAGGAGCTGCAGTAAAACGTACACAACAGGGATCTCTTCAGGGTTCAGAGGAGTTCTTCACAGAGATAGAATTGTTGTCCAGGCTGCACCACCGAAACCTGGTTTCTTTGGTTGGTTATTGCGACGAAGATAATGAGCAGGTTGTCCCTCCAACTTATTTTTTATATATACTAATCAGAAATACTAATTTCATCAAATGCTGCTTTATTATTCAGCTGCTTTCTTGTTCTAGAATGGGCTGTGGAAAATTTGATATCCATATCTATTGCGATCCATGTATCTGGTGAAGTACATATACATCAACACACATTATCAACCTATTTCTATACATCAACACACGTTTAGGTTATTTCTGCTAGATCAATTCAACACATTCTTTATTGTTTAGTGCAGAAGTGATTCCTTGTCCATAGACATTGTAAGCTCATTTTCTGTTGATTGGCTGGTATCGAGAGCTCATCTTCAGGGCACTCTTAATGGCAGAAGCTGACCTGTTGCTTTTTATGCCTAATGGTACTTAATGTTCGGTCCAACGTTATGATGATTAAACTCATACTGTGAACCATGTATTGCAGATGCTGGTGTATGAGTATATGCCAAATGGTACTCTACGTGATCATCTTTCAGGTTAGAACTTCGTTTCTGTAGCCACTAAATTGCACCTCAGAATTGTACATTTAGTCATAATTTCTGAAATGGCTTATCTTATTGAATTACTTTGTTCCACGTTCACCCTGTCAGGCAAGGGTGCCTTTTCTCTTGCCACAGATAACATAGTTACAGATTTACAGTCACACAATTAGATATTATATCCAGCTGAGAAATGATATCGAGACAAACGTATGAAATTTCCCTGTCGCGATCATTGTGCACACATAATAGTCTAGTGCATGCCACCTTGATGATAAATGCCTCTGTTCCATCAATAGTTCCTCAGCTAGAACTCACAACTGATCACAGCAGGGAAATTCAACCACTCGTGAGGTGTGATTGTATGAAGGAACCTAACTTTGGATATCTATGTTTTGGATTTTGATAGTCAGGCTCAAGCCAATGAAATCTCCATGCTTTTTTGCTTGCTTGCAAATTATTTTTGTTTAATTGTACGTGTGCTAAGAATATTCCTCTACCTTGCTTTTGGTGTGCTGCCTGTCCTGTAAAGTTCCTCTAACTGGTGCTTTATTTACGTAACAGCTAAAGCTAAAGAAGCTCTAAGTTTCCCCATGAGGTTACGAATTGCACTGGGATCATCACGAGGGATCCTCTATTTGCACACGGAAGCTGACCCTCCGATATATCATCGTGACATCAAGACTAGCAACATTTTATTGGACTCGAAGTTTGTAGCAAAGGTTGCTGATTTTGGTCTCTCGAGGCTTGCCCCACTGCCAGAAATGGAGGGGGTTGCCCCTGGTCATGTGTCCACTGTCGTAAAGGGTACCCCGGTGAGTATAACATCGTATATCTTGGCATCAACTAGTTGCGCATAAATAAGCATGTGGCACTTGAGGCGAGGATCTGTATCGGTTTTGAGTGTCACATATCTTTTTAACATCTAGTTCTCGGCGTCATGTTGGTGACACCGCATTGTTGATTTAGTTGCCGTTGTTGCACCATGCAGGGTTATCTTGATCCGGAGTATTTCCTCACGCATAATCTGACGGACAAGAGCGACGTGTACAGCCTCGGTGTTGTTTTTCTGGAACTGCTGACAGGGATGCAGCCCATTTCTCATGGGAAAAACCTGGTCAGAGAGGTAACCATCAAAGTTCAAATCGATGGAGCAGGGAATTGTGACAATAATACATCACATACACACATATGCAGGTTGTGACGGCGAACCAGTCAGGGATGATACTGCCGGTGGTTGACACGCGGATGGGACCGTGCCCATGGGAGTGCGTGGAGAGGTTCGCGGCACTGGGGCTGCGGTGCTGCCGGGACGAGACGGATGCGAGGCCGTCCATGACGGAGGTGGTGCGGGAGCTGGAGATGATATGGCAGATGGCGCTAGAGACAGATAGCGTGCCGTTGGAGTTGGAGTCGGAGTCGGTGTCCATGGACCCCAGCCGCACAGGCACGCAGCTGTCGTCGGACGTCGTCCGCCGGGGGGTCGATGATGGCCTACCAGTACATGTCGTCGCCGGACGTCTCCGGCAGCAACCTGCTCAGCGGCGTGGTGCCCAGCACCAACCCTCGCTGAGAAAATGTGAGAGCCTAATTAGTTGGTGATGATGTTTGTGCTGGTAGGCAGGAGTATTAGAAATGTTTGAGTTTCATTTGTGCTGGTAGTTGTTTGAAATTCATTTCTATCCCCTGTTTGTAAATAAATAAAGATGTGTGTAATACTAAGGTATTAAATAAAGATGCGTGGGGTATCATCTAGTTTAGCAGGTGCGTGCCTACAAGGCTACAATATTAAGGTGCGTTTGCTGCCATACGATGTTTCAGATTTCCTTGCCACCACCAGGTAGGCAGGTCTCGCTGAAATTTTGGTCCAACATTTTGGAATTTATTTTGGTATAATTTTGTCTAAATTTCATTGAAGTTGGGCCATAATTTGAATTTGTCGCGGGAAGCTATTTGGGCACCCTCTGGAATTTTCGTTGAAACTTTGAAGCCCAAGTACAAACCGTTGCACATGACCCTTGTCAGGTCCACGGTAGAACACATCCTGTACATGCCTCGCCGTTGCCATGGCCACGTCCACAACGCCCGGAGCAACGCTCCCGGTCACCTCCCTTCCCCGTGCATCGACAACTTCTCCGACACCATGCTGGCTCTAGTGTATTGAGTGGCATGTGCTCGCCGCCCGTCCATGCCTCCCCGAGAACCGAGGGCTTTACCGGAGCCGTTGAGGCATTGCCGACCATGGTGGTAGTGCGGTCGAATGCCAGGAGTACGCGGAGATCATCATCGTGGTGGACGAAGGAAAAAGGAGTACTATTTGATTAGTGCTACACGTCCGTCACGAGCTCTGGGAGTCCAGGGGTACAGTAGCATATGCGCCAACTTTTAATGGTCAACCATGATAAACCCCCGGATTCGTTGCTTCCTTCACCAAATCTCTTTCTCCATCACCTCTGGATTTTGTGTGGCGTGTGGTGCTCCGTGAGCCTCCACACAACAATGAGAGTTGATGCGGGGTTTGTTGGCACTAGGAGCTGCCAAGATATATTGGTAGCCAGACGCATCGACAAAGCTTCATTAGGGCCAAGGGAGGCAATGCCCCCCGCCGCCAAACTAACGGTATGTGTGGAGTGAGGTTCTCAATTTGCTTTGGAATGACGTACACACACTAGGGCCAGGGTATACTGAGGTTCTCAATTTGCTTTGGAATGACGTACACACACTAGGGCCAGGGTATACTGAGGTTCTCAATTTGTTTTACTTCAAGGAAATACCTCTAATATTAATCTTAAAATTGTCACACAGGAGGCTGGTGGAAACTAGCGCTATGCGTGGTTCAACTTGCCGCGGACGTTAGAACAATCATATTTTTTGTTGCTATTTTATGGAAGTATGGTTGGTGTTGTGTTCATTCCCTTTGCTCTATACTTTGAAAGGTTATACCATTTTTCTACTCAATTTATAGATAAATGGCATATCTGCAGTTGGAATTGGAAAGAGTTGGAGACAAACCAGTCGGGTGTCTTTTCTTGAATGTGTTTGTCGGGTATGTTATGGATGTAACTTCCCTGTAGCCAGACGCATCGACAAATCTTCATTAGGGCCAAGGGAGGCAATGCCCCCCGCCGCCAAACTAACGGTATGTGTGGAGTGAGGTTCTCAATTTGCTTTGGAATGACGTACACACACTAGGGCCAGGGTATACTGAGGTTCTCAATTTGTTTTACTTCAAGGAAATACCTCTAATATTAATCTTAAAATTGTCACACAGGAGGCTGGTGGAAACTAGCGCTATGCATGGTTCAACTTGCCGCGGACGTTAGAACAATCATATTTTTTGTTGCTATTTTATGGAAGTATGGTTGGTGTTGTGTTCATTCCCTTTGCTCTATACTTTGAAAGGTTATACCATTTTTCTACTCAATTTATAGATAAATGGCATATCTGCAGTTGGAATTGGAAAGAGTTGGAGACAAACCAGTCGGGTGTCTTTTCTTGAATGTGTTTGTCGGGTATGTTATGGATGTAACTTCCCTGTAGCCAAACGCATCGACAAAGCTTCATTAGGGCCAAGGGAGGCAATGCCCCCCGCCGCCAAACTAACGGTATGTGTGGAGTGAGGTTCTCAATTTGCTTTGGAATGACGTACACACACTAGGGCCAGGGTATACTGAGGTTCTTAATTTGTTTTACTTCAAGGAAATACCTCTAATATTAATCTTAAAATTGTCACACACGAGGCTGGTGGAAACTAGCGCTATGCGTGGTTCAACTTGCCGCGGACGTTAGAACAATCATATTTTTTGTTGCTATTTTATGGAAGTATGGTTGGTGTTGTGTTCATTCCCTTTGCTCTATACTTTGAAAGGTTATACCATTTTTCTACTCAACTTATAGATAAATGGCATATCTGCAGTTGGAATTGGAAAGAGTTGGAGACAAACCAGTCGGGTGTCTTTTCTTGAATGTGTTTGTCGGGTATGTTATGGATGTAACTTCCCTGTAGCCAGACGCATCGACAAAGCTTCATTAGGGCCAAGGGAGGCAATGCCCCCCGCCGCCAAACTAACGGTATGTGTGGAGTGAGGTTCTCAATTTGCTTTGGAATGACGTACACACATTAGGGCCAGGGTATACTGAGGTTCTCAATTTGTTTTACTTCAAGGAAATACCTCTAATATTAATCTTAAAATTGTCACACACGAGGCTGGTGGAAACTAGCGCTATGCGTGGTTCAACTTGCCGCGGACGTTAGAACAATCATATTTTTTGTTGCTATTTTATGGAAGTATGGTTGGTGTTGTGTTCATTCCCTTTGCTCTATACTTTGAAAGGTTATACCATTTTTCTACTCAACTTATAGATAAATGGCATATCTGCAGTTGGAATTGGAAAGAGTTGGAGACAAACCAGTCGGGTGTCTTTTCTTGAATGTGTTTGTCGGGTATGTTATGGATGTAACTTCCCTGTAGCCAGACGCATCGACAAAGCTTCATTAGGGCCAAGGGAGGCAATGCCCCCCGCCGCCAAACTAACGGTATGTGTGGAGTGAGGTTCTCAATTTGCTTTGGAATGACGTACACACACTAGGGCCAGGGTATACTGAGGTTCTCAATTTGTTTTACTTCAAGGAAATACCTCTAATATTAATCTTAAAATTGTCACATAGGAGGCTGGTGGAAACTAGCGCTATGCGTGGTTCAACTTGCCGCGGACGTTAGAACAATCATATTTTTTGTTGCTATTTTATGGAAGTATGGTTGGTGTTGTGTTCATTCGCTTTGCTCTATACTTTGAAAGGTTATACCATTTTTCTACTCAATTTATAGATAAATGGCATATCTGCAGTTGGAATTGGAAAGAGTTGGAGACAAACCAGTCGGGTGTCTTTTCTTGAATGTGTTTGTCGGGTATGTTATGGATGTAACTTCCCTGTAGCCAGACGCATCGACAAATCTTCATTAGGGCCAAGGGAGGCAATGCCCCCCGCCGCCAAACTAACGGTATGTGTGGAGTGAGGTTCTCAATTTGCTTTGGAATGACGTACACACACTAGGGCCAGGGTATACTGAGGTTCTCAATTTGTTTTACTTCAAGGAAATACCTCTAATATTAATCTTAAAATTGTCACACAGGAGGCTGGTGGAAACTAGCGCTATGCGTGGTTCAACTTGCCGCGGACGTTAGAACAATCATATTTTTTGTTGCTATTTTATGGAAGTATGGTTGGTGTTGTGTTCATTCCCTTTGCTCTATACTTTGAAAGGTTATACCATTTTTCTACTCAAGTTATAGATAAATGGCATATCTGCAGTTGGAATTGGAAAGAGTTGGAGACAAACCAGTCGGGTGTCTTTTCTTGAATGTGTTTGTCGGGTATGTTATGGATGTAACTTCCCTGTAGCCAGACGCATCGACAAAGCTTCATTAGGGCCAAGGGAGGCAATGCCCCCCGCCGCCAAACTAACGGTATGTGTGGAGTGAGGTTCTCAATTTGCTTTGGAATGACGTACACACACTAGGGCCAGGGTATACTGAGGTTCTCAATTTGTTTTACTTCAAGGAAATACCTCTAATATTAATCTTAAAATTGTCACACAGGAGGCTGGTGGAAACTAGCGCTATGCGTGGTTCAACTTGCCGCGGACGTTAGAACAATCATATTTTTTGTTGCTATTTTATGGAAGTATGGTTGGTGTTGTGTTCATTCCCTTTGCTCTATACTTTGAAAGGTTATACCATTTTTCTACTCAACTTATAGATAAATGGCATATCTGCAGTTGGAATTGGAAAGAGTTGGAGACAAACCAGTCGGGTGTCTTTTCTTGAATGTGTTTGTCGGGTATGTTATGGATGTAACTTCCCTGTAGCCAGACGCATCGACAAAGCTTCATTAGGGTCAAGGGAGGCAATGCCCCCCGCCGCCAAACTAACGGTATGTGTGGAGTGAGGTTCTCAATTTGCTTTGGAATGACGTACACACACTAGGGCCAGGGTATACTGAGGTTCTCAATTTGTTTTACTTCAAGGAAATATACCTCTAATATTAATCTTAAAATTGTCACATAGGAGGCTGGTGGAAACTAGCGCTATGCGTGGTTCAACTTGCCGCGGACGTTAGAACAATCATATTTTTTGTTGCTATTTTATGGAAGTATGGTTGGTGTTGTGTTCATTCGCTTTGCTCTATACTTTGAAAGGTTATACCATTTTTCTACTCAATTTATAGATAAATGGCATATCTGCAGTTGGAATTGGAAAGAGTTGGAGACAAACCAGTCGGGTGTCTTTTCTTGAATGTGTTTGTCGGGTATGTTATGGATGTAACTTCCCTGTAGCCAGACGCATCGACAAATCTTCATTAGGGCCAAGGGAGGCAATGCCCCCCGCCGCCAAACTAACGGTATGTGTGGAGTGAGGTTCTCAATTTGCTTTGGAATGACGTACACACACTAGGGCCAGGGTATACTGAGGTTCTCAATTTGTTTTACTTCAAGGAAATACCTCTAATATTAATCTTAAAATTGTCACACAGGAGGCTGGTGGAAACTAGCGCTATGCGTGGTTCAACTTGCCGCGGACGTTAGAACAATCATATTTTT